GGAATTTATGAAAGTACTGCGCTTCAGTTAATGCAAAACTTCTTGTTTTTGCAGCTCAAATGGGAATCAACGGCAGTGGATGTAGAGCTTGAGCTACAGTCAATGCTTTGCCCGATCGCTGAGAAACTAGAGCAATGTGAGCGATTACCGGTCGAATGGCCAAAAGTCGGCATACCTTTCGTTCAGCCCTTGCTCGAACTTTTTTCGGACAATCCTCTCGCTGATTTTTCTGAAACCTCTTCAATGTCTGCACAAGTTGGTAAGCATCTGGTTGCAGCACGCATTTATTCCAGGTTCCGTATGGCTAATGCTTGTGATTTTTATGTGTAACTGAACAGATTTTATGTTAGTGAGCGAAACTCTGCAAAACGAATGCGAAATTTCGATGGTTTTGATGCCCTATTTCCGTGCACTGTGGCATATGAATTTTCGTACTGAATACCTGTAGTAAAGCATAATCAACAGTAGTGCACACCAAGACTGTCGGTTCGGTGTTTTTGTGCAAAATTTGAAGCGAGCTGGTCGTTACTTTACAGTTTAACATGCGCATTCGTGTTGGCAGTATTTTCGATGGTTTGCTGCATGTGATTAGAAAGCGCCGTCTAACATCGACAAAGACGGTGGTGCTGCATTATTGCGCCCCGTGATATCTCAAGCTGTAGTAAGAGTGGTCACGGCGAATAGAGGTTGTGTGCGGTTCTTCATCCTCAAGTTTATCGTATACGCGCATACACACACACACATATGAAGGGTAGACGTTTGTGAAAATCATTTCAGTGCCGGACATGACGTGCAAGCATTCTCGTAAATTTTGTGCTTTCTCGCCTGTCTGGTTATCCAGAGAGAAAGATGACGAAAGTGTTGCAGTTTGACATTGACAACGTCCCTATGCTGAGCATATGCATAAGCAAAAGGTTTTTTAAGCTTGCAGGCTTGCATATCGACATTCAGTATTCTCATAAAGTTGCGGCATCCTACTTAGTCTGACTGCAGAATTAAGTCGACACCGATATTGTCCAGAATTGAAATTTTACTCGCACACCTAAGGCGAAGTCTGAATACGCTTGTATTTTGAGGCAGGCATACGCGAAGGCTGATTCTACACGAACTCGCACGTAGACAGTAAATGCTCGTATAAAATCAGAGCCTTCTGCGTAGCGTAGTTTCCAAGTTGAGATTTTTATGCGTTTTTGCTGTCAGCGCTGTAGCGCTGCTAGAGCCAGCAAGAACGCATATTGTTGAGAGGCTCTCTGTGTGTGTTCGGAAAGCGAGTGCATTTTGTCACCCACTTTCATCTCAGCAGCCAGGAGAGCTGGAAGGCTGAAACTTTGGATATATGTTCCTGCCCCGTGTGTCATCCTCCCGTTTTAAGATCTTTCCCCA